GGAAGAGAAAGTCTCTAGAGCACTAGGACGAGATCAGAGCAGGAAAGGGCAGGTATGAAACCTCCACTTCCATCCTCAATACCATGAGGCAGAGAGAGAGGACCTCCTGACCTGTACTTGTCAAACCAAAGCAGTTTAAGAGAGCAGCTCAGAGCTGGTTCACATCTAGCACCTAAACCAGTCCATCTATTTTGGGCTGAGCCCCAGGGTCACCATCTGCCTGTAAACACACAGGATCAGCCTAGTCTTAGATAAACACTGTGGATGCACAGGAGCATATTCTGGTGAATACTCATGTGGTGGGGTTACAACATTCTCTCTTTTAGATTGTCTATAAATTGCTGGGGATGCACAGTGGGACTTCATGTTTTGTACATCAGCTACCATACAGATGGGGGTTAGAAAATAGCAGCAGTGGCGGAATAAAATCAACGGAGTGACATTTAAAAATCATCGCAAAGGAATGTTCTCAGTGCTGATGTCTTGTTTGTTACAAGCTGCAGTGTCAGGGCAGAGAGGCCTTATAAATCAGCAGAGAAAGGGGGATGCTCAGGGAAGCTGTGGCTGTCTGGTCACTTTGCTGAGTTTTTAAAGATCAGCAGTAGAATCTTGAAATCTTGGTTTCTGATTTCAGTGGAAAAATACATGTTGACTGTGCTCTTTTCTCAGGAATTGCACCACAGTATGAAATACTTCTAAGTGCCAAACTGCACAAGGGAAAAAGTGCATTTCCTTTGCTGCATGTCTTGTTTTAAACCTCAGAGATTTTGTAACCCTGGGTTTGCAAAAGCACAATCCATTTGACCAGCTCATGAGGAAGTGGGATACAAGTTGGGATAATCAGTCTGATTTCTCCTACTCCAGTGCTTTGAGAGAAAATGTAATTTGCTAACATTTTATACTCATTTTGTTTGTATATTAAAATATGCGAAAACACTTGGAGAGCAGAGCCAGTAGTTCCAGTTCTTATATTGTACCTAAGTAAATCAGGACTAGTTCAATTAAATTCCTGGGCCCTTTTTTAATACAAAATACATGTGCTATTTCCCTCTGAAGTTTCTGCACCATGCCAGAGCAGAACAGAGGGCACTTGACTTGTTTTGATGTAAAAATTAGTAAAACCAAAGACAGAATCAGATTTGCTGACTAAAAATATCTACAGAAGAAAAAAAACTGGCACCTGATCCAAGAGGAAGTAATGAATGCATAGCTGATGCAGAGTAATAATGGAGTACACCCACAGAAATGATTGCAAAGTGAATCTTATGGAAAAAATTCTGATCCCAAGGATTTTGATTAAAATCAACTTGAAAAGAATGTGTAATGATTTGGTACCGAAATTACTTCAATTAGTGGAAAGTGTAAGAAATAAAAGGAATAAAACACTTCTAATCTCAAAAAAAGAGAGCTTCCTGGGGTGTGGAGAAGAAGCGTACATGCTGGAACCATGATAAGGCTTCCCTGTGATGAGTAACGAGTTAGCGAACCTTTTTCGAGTACAACACTTTTCTTTTTGAAGCTAATGTTTGCCTTGCAGTAACAGTTTCACAGTCACTACAAAGTGCTTGTTTTCTTCCATTGCTGGGCATATGCTACAGCCACAGTCAGTGTACTGAAATGAATAGGTGGTTATCTTTCAGTTGCCTTTTTAAAGTCTGATCTATAAAGAAAAATGACTTTTGGGGCTCTGGTTGGCACAGGGGATCGACAGAAGGCTGCTGAGTTGCTTTTCCCTGGCAGCGCCATTTATAATTCAGCTTTCACCCAGTGGTGCCCGAGAATTATTCTGATTTTACCCAAACCCAGACAAGAGTCTGGAGCTGAAATTCCATGTGATTACAGGAGGTTGAATTACCATTTGTTCTGAGCATCTCCTCTTTTTCCAACATTTTTTTCTGGAACCCCACATAAACTAAAGCTTCACAAGAGAGTTCTAGGCAAAAGGCAAAAATATGCCCTGCAAACATTTGTTATACTATTGCAAACATATCTAGAAAATAATTCTTCTGGACCTTTCAATGTATTTCAGGAACTAATCAAGAGCTTGCAGACATAAACTTACCATCTTTGTTACTGAAGGTACTGACTACAGTTAAACCACCAATCCCAGTAATCCGTTCTCTAACCTTCTGGCAAAAGGGGGATTTGCTTTCATCAAATATGATTGTCCTAAACTGGAATACCATTGCAAAGGTGCTTGCAGTTTCTCTGCTGTGGTCTTGATGGTAAATGAGGCATTCATACTGAAGTTCTCAGTATGCCAGAGAACAAATACCAGCATAGAGAATAAAAGGACAACAGCAAAGGGAACCCCATTTGTAGGATATTCTAACACTCAAGAAACAGGAAGTTTCTTGATAAGCTGGGATTGATCCTATAGCTTATGCTGAGAAATCTCATTTTACTATTCAGCTGGAGAGAAAAAATAATCCAGATAACAGATAACACCTTTCCTGTTTAACCAGCAGTAGCACACACAAATTTGCTTCATGGTATCAGCACCTAGTTGGCTGAAACCTGTGAACTGCTAAAATTTGTCTCGAAATACAAGTTATCAAATGACATTATTAATATGGTCCTAGAGAGACATGGACAATGTGTAGTACATAGTTTGGGGAAAAAAACACAAGTAATTCAGCATTGTGATGAATAGCTATAAAATAGAAGGGATGCGAAAAAGCCAGGGCAGGACTGTAAGAAGAGGATGAATTCCTACAAATCTGGCATTCTGTGATAAACACCCTGTACTCTACAGCAAAGTGCTAAACTTTTGAAAGCTCGTGATATGAAAAAAAACAGAAAGGTAACTCCTACCTTAACTGAGATAAAGATAGATGTGAATTTGAACTTCCCATAGTTAATATTTATATTGCTAAAGGTAGTGATTATTACTAGGTTTCAATTAAACACTAATTTAAATAGATATAATGTTTAATTTACATTCTGTAATCCTGAGCTACAATCAAAATTTGCTTTTCTAATTCTGCAGACAGAATCCACCCACTTTTACTAAATGAGTGTGTTCCAGAGCCTAAGCCTCTACTGCAAAAAATTTTCTAGTCCTTGTGGTTGCAAAGCTAACTCTCAAAACATGAACTGCCTTTAAGCAGAGAAGTCTGCCCAAGATGAAGAGGGCCTGGTAGAACAGGTCTGCAAGAAAGTAAACTCAGGAAACAGCAATTTTGATTTAATCGTATTCCATATTGTTTGGTTTCAACTGTAAAAATATTAAAAACACGATTCACAGGCTTTGTTTATCATGAAAGAACACAACTAATTTTTGCATGCATCAGTCCTCCAGCACTTTTGTGCAGATGAAAGTATGGTTCTTGTTCTCTCCATTCCATGTTGCACTCTTGCCCAGGGGCAGCAAGACTGCCACGTTGCACAAACTGTATTTATTGGAATGCTTGTTGTGCCACCAGTTTATCTCCATCTGATTACTTGAAAATAAAACTGTTGTGAAGCTTAAATCAATTTTAGTTCCACAAACAGTCCCAAGTCTGGATTCAACAGTCTTCAACAATTCAGCAAAATCAGGTTTTAAAACCTTTGGATAAGCTTGGGTTTTGCTGATATTGTTATTCCTTAAAATTGTTATTCCTTAGTGTATCATTTGCTGTCTTCCTCTGAAGCAAATAAAAACATCTTCAAATTTGACAGTACCATCAAAATATTCGTGTTCTAGCCTTCATTCAGTAAGGCTTAATGTAATACCAATGACTGCATGGTAGAAATAGTCAATTATCCAGTAAGTCAATTATTTATTGCTGCCTTTCAAAATGTGCCCCCTGGCTATATAGGGATACCTGGCTCAAACATTTAATACTTTCATTTCAAACCTTACACTTTCTATTCACAACCGTTTTAAGAGAAGTTGGTATGAGCATAAAAACTGCTGTGCCATATAATACAAGGAATTCATCTGACCTCTTATCCTGTATCTTACTCCTGAGAAAGGCTCAGTAGCAGAGACTTAGGGAAGATATAAAAAATGGCGGTGTTTTTCAAAAGAACTGTTCACAGCAGCTGAAAGATCCTTTACATGAGTGGAAAGAGCCAAATTAGGGCTCAGTACTTCGTATGGACTCAATAATTTTACATTCATTGCACTTACTTACATTAAATGTAATCTGCTAATTTACTGTCAGCGCCAGTAAAGGGAGATCTTCCGTGATTCTGCAGCCAGTTGTAGATTTGACTATCCTGAATAATTTTTTATCCTGTATTTTGCATGTATACTTGCTATCCAAGCTTTGTTCAAAGCCATGTTCAAAGCTTTAATAGTTACGATTAGAAATACTACTATTTATATGCTAATACTTCACAACTATGCACATGAATCACTGTACTCACATTTGTTATGCAAATGCCTCCCTGAAAATACTAACCTAAACCCCAGTCACTCACTCACATCTTTCCAATGGATGCCTTTCCATTGCCTTGAAGTACAGCCCACATGTAGGCGTGAGGCTAGTCCTCTAAAACACAATATGGAACAAATTATGTATGCACAATATTTTCTTCACACATTTAAGAATCTGGCAGTGAATAGTCATGAGCTACGCAGTGGTACATTTACAATGAAAAGAATCCACTTGCGTGCAGCATCAGAATCTGTCTCTGAGGTACTTCACTGTGAACTCCGAGCTATGTTTTGACTGCTTGGTTCAGGGACACTGTAATTGCAACCATGTATGACAGGACTGGGTTAGACTCATCATTCAGTACTGGTGGATGATGCACAATAATACAAAAAAACCACTTTTAACAATGCAAGTTATTATTACAACCAGGTCAACACTGAAGTTTAAACTTTCACCCTCTGTGCTTCTCCAGTAGCAGTTACTTCCCAGATTCATTTGTTGCTAAGGATATGCTTAAGGTATGTAGAATTCAAGGTTACAATGGCTGTGTCTAAGACAAGAAATAACTACAGTTGTGACACACTTGCTAGGTTATTTTTTAAATATTCTGATTATTTCATATCTTCTCTTTAGCTCCTTGCTCAGAAGTGGCCTTTTGGAGATACGGATTTTGGACAGTTTCTTTGCAAATTCCTTCCCTTCATCCAGAAGGCATCAGTGGGAATCACAGTCCTTAACCTCTGTGCCCTAAGCGTGGACAGGTACAGTGTGTTTGACTCTTTTGATGCTGCTCTCGCCCTTGCAGTTTTCCTAAAACTGGGAGCACTCACTATGGTCTTCTCAGCAGCCAGATTACAGTATAGATGCAATTTAGATTCTGTTTTTTTGGATTTCCTGGCTATAACAAAGCACCACATCTCTGGCTCAAAGTATAGTATTAAGTCATTGGACTAATGAACTTTACATGTTTTTAAAAGGTATTTAAAAGCTCTACTAAAGCATTATTTCAACTTCCTTTACCAGACAAAAATTTATTGGGATTTGACTCAGATTTCTTTCCTTCGTATGAACTCATGTTTGTTTTGTATTTGAATAAGATTGTAATCTTTAGCCTTAAAAATTGTTTTTTTCAACTCACTGCCTATGGACCACAATTACAGGGTTTATTTTGATAACTTTTATACCTAACTGAGTTGTACTGAAAAACACGTTGGAAACTTGCTTTGAGAGATTGACATTGATGGTTTGAAAAGTAATGCCTCTGCTATTTTTTCTTCATACATATAATGCAATAGCAGACGAATACTTGAGTTCTGTAAAAACTATTTTTATTGGTCTTGAGTTCACTTGATCACGTTCTATTTCAAAATATCAGTAACTCTGATACAGAAAATACTGTTAAATAAAATGTGTATTAGTACCGTTATGCAAAGTTAAAAAAAAAAATTAAAATTAATCTTGGTTAATTTTAAAGGTAATGTACAAGGTTTGCAATGGATGAGTCACTGACTAGTTTCCATACCTGAAACACAATTCCTTACTGTATTAGTAAATCCTTAGCCAAAGCCAGAAACAAAACAATGTAACACAGGCAACTGTTCTATTTCCACTTTTGAGTTTGCAAACTATAAAAAGAATTCTATTTCTCAAGCAATATCTGCCCAGCATAAAATAAAATCCCATGGGCTCCTCTAAGGAATAAATCATAGATCAAGCACATGAAATGGCCAGTTTGTTAGATAAATTCTGACAACTGCAGTTTTTTCAGCAGATGAAGTTCTCCTGGTATACACGTGCTCATAAATTGGAATTAACTCAGCTGATGCTACCTCTTAATATGCATATATATATTTTTACAAGGAGTGATTTGCTAATCCTCACAACAAGCAAATATTGTTTCCATTTGATTATAAAGTCTTGTGTGGGATCAGACTCAGACTATTTAATTTCCTCCCCCAGCTTACACGCTTTGCCAAGGACATATTCTTTATCATCTGGTGCTACTCTAGTAAACGGTTGCAGAGGATGTGTGTTAGAAAACAGCCAGATTCTGATATTGGCTACTATGAATTGAACAAAATTAAATCACCATGAAATCTGAGAGCACCTTCAACAAGTCAGACTAGGCACTGGAAGTGGCATAGTCACATTAGTACAAAATTCCACATTAGCAAATGGTTGCTAATGGAATGAAATATGAGTAAATAATAGGAATTAAAATTTCTATAAAATGGAAAATGAGTGTTTTGTCACAGCTGGACTGTATCTGACCTACAGGTGAGTTAATTTTTGCTTTAAAAAGCTCTTGAAAATATATATTTATAATTACTTTGGGTGCTTATATATGGAATTGCATTCTACGATGTAGAAAAACAAGAAATCAATTGGTATAATGGATGCAGAGCTCCGTAGCTTTGATAATTGTTGACTGACTGTCCCTCTTGTAGACTACAATCTTAATTAAGAGCAGGATTATTTTTTTCCTACAGGGACAAGTCTCTGTTTTAACTACATCCTAGTGGGACACTCCACTGGTTACTACTGCCCTTCACACACAGTGACTTGGCCTGACAGTGCATGAAGGTTTTACTGTGCATGCCCAGAGGGAACAATGTCCCCTCACATGTGGAGAGGTTTTCAAGAGGCTTTTTTAAAAAAAATCCAGCCATTCACCCTTCAGAGGAAGCTCACATTTGCTTCAGATGCCTCTCAGGCGTTTTTAAAGTCTAGATCATGATGGTGACAACAGTGTGACTGTTTCTAAACAGTGCCTGACTGTGACTAAAACTAAAGATATTTTCTTTCCTGAGCTGTTTACTCCTGCTTATGTCATGGGCATAATAGTTTTAATGAAGAAATGGGTTTAAGGAAAGTGAAGATATGGATCTCATTTAATGTGTATACACTCTCTTCTTGCCTCCTCTGCATAGCAAATTGTATAGAACAGTAATCTCAGAGTGGATACTTCCATCTGGACCAACTTTCAGTAAGCGTATGAGATAACTGAGGATTTTACCACTAAAACAAAACTAGAAGATCTTTATTGAATTAAGAGCTTTGCAATCAACACACTACTCCTTACCTCTAAAATGAAGAACAGCTGTGGTCCCTAATAATGAAGCGGAACAGTTTGGTGCCACCAATAGTAGTGCCCTTTAGGAACAGTTCTGACACTAATCTTGACAGTGACTCTTTCTTAGGTCCTTCTTCTAGTTTCTAGTCTTCCCTTCATGGCTTTTCACTCTTACCAAAGGCTGATGACACTTGCAGAACAGTGTTATACTAATGGGTCATTTGAACACCTTATTTCCTAAGGCAGTTAAAAGGAACAGGGAAACAAAAGCACCTGCTGATGTTCTCAGATCCAGACAAGATGTCCTTCTGAAAGAAATGCTTTAAGCAAATTACAGCTAGGTAGGAGTGAAAAATATTTAATAGTCTGTATGTATACTCTATGATGTAATGATCCCTTGTGGTTTAATACTGTGCATCTCTAAGTAGCAGGAAGGACTGCAGAGTCCTTGAAAACACAGTTGGAATAAACAGGTAAGAATAGAGGGAGAAGAAGAAAACAGAGGAGGGAGAGTACCTGAAGGACACAATATACTAAAGTTGACAGCATGTGCATGAGCAATAGAAAATGAAAAGGGGAGAGAAAAGAGAAGGCACAACATTAAACAGAGAAAAGGAAGTGACCTGGGGAAAAAGTGAATATTTTAGACAAGGTTGGAGAAAAGAGGGGAATAAATAGAAAAAAAAGTTAGACAAATTACACACAGATTTTAGACTGAGGAATTAAATACAATGCATTATGCATGTATTTTATGACAGTTCCCTGGCAGACATCCTATATTTTCCAAGTATGAAGGAAATAAACTCTGCAGTATTTTCTCACTCCTAATTATGGAAGGTTTGTGGCTAGACAAAGATCCTATATATTACATAACTCACAGAACAACCACTTGAAAAGTTATACTACCACTTTTTTCAAATCACTCTTACAGCAGTGAGTAAAATGACCAAGTAATTGCAGATTAATATGCATTCAGCAAATTATGATCTTATTACTGAGCTTCTTATGCTTTAGCTGAAACCATTCATAAAACTATTCAGCTAATAATTCCTTATCTGATAGTTATTTGACTTGGGAACCGAAAAAGAGTTTATTAATAAAATACATACGGCACCCAAATCCTTACTGCTGTGCGTACCAATCTGCTCATATGCAAGACAGATGTAACTCAAAAAGAACAGGTACAAAAATGCAAGAAAGGAAATAACTGGATTCACAATTTGCAACCTTTTTGTTGTCACTTACATAGTTACACCGGTGGCACAACACAAACTTTACATTTGCTCCTTGAAAAATATATACAGTTGCTGCTTGCCAAGAGCATCAGTCAGTCAAGGATTAGATAGCACCTTGTGCAGCTGATGAGACCAATCATAATACTGCCAGCCTATAGAAAGTAAACTTCAAACTGATTGTTAAATATCCAAAGTTCACAAATATTTGAGTATTTGTGTAAAAGGTTAAGTTTGTGTGAATATTTAGTTTAGTCATTAAAGCCAAGATTTTATATTTGGCAAAATGAAATGTGATAGGGTGACAAATTATTTAAAATTAAATTTGGATTTTAATATGAATATTTATGAAAAGATATGATAATGGATATTAGTTTCTTAATTCTCCCAGTATAGTTTTATTTGTTCAGATGATCTCAGAATTCTAATCTCAGAGACCTCCTCCCCATGTGTGAACCATTGCCTTCCTTCTTTTTCATATTCTTTATTTATTTTCATATTTCTTTATTTTTAATCTGCAAGTCCAAATTGTAGTTTGCTTTAGCATTTTTAAAGTATTTATACATACATTTCTGTTAAGATGATGTCTTGAAGGCCTCTCCATAGCACACACCCATGACTACACAGCACGGGATATTGCTGTAGATATCAAAGCAAAGGTTCCTACTCTGTTCACTGCAGGAATGGTGGCACACCAGGCTCTGACACCTCCCGGTGATGTTCAGCAACACCTTCCAGTGACGTTCTGTAAAAACACTCTCTGAAGGTTTTGTGAGGGGCTTACAGCCTGGACTTGCCTTCATGCCTTCTTCCTTCCTCTAACACCAAGGCTACAGGGATTCAATCCACAAGTCTTACTGTCCAGCTAATAAGCACACTTCCAAACTAAAAAAAGGGTGTGATACAAGAAATCAGAAGAAATGCTTTGTGTGTGAAATCCCATATTAGTGTATTTGTTAAAGAAGGAATGAGGAAGCCTTTTAACAGCTAAATTTTACTGATCTCTGTACTGATTCAAATACTGATACTGATTCAAAATCCAATACTTCCCAGTACACTCAAAGCATTCTAATCCAGAGTTCTTAACTACTCCTTTACTTAAACCTTTATTATCTCCAATCCTTCGAGCCCATGCCAAAATTCTGTACTCTGTCCAATTACGTCTCTACCATCCCACCCTAATCCTTCCACAACCTAATCCTCCAACCTAAAGCCTTCTCATTTCCCCTGTTCTTTCCTTCCATTGCCAAAGCTCACTCATCTTTGCACTTCAGAGCCACATACTTACAAACTGAATCCTCCTGGTCTCCTGAGGGCATCTCTTTCCCCACACCTTTCACCTTTTTGTGCCTGCTGGTGTCCTTTCATACGCCACTTAATTGCTGCCATCAGCTAAAATCACCAATCCATTTGCCTTTCTCTGAAAAGTTTAATCTCGGCTCTCATCTTGGGAAGTTGTTAAGAATAGAGGTGGCAGCTGCATGTATCCAAAAGTATCTCAGGGGGGCAGAAAATGAGGGCATGCCTGAGGGAGAAAATAATACCTGCAGGACAGTAAAATGACACAGCTCCTTACAATTTCTAATCTGCTTCAGTGACTTCTTATTCTGACATTTTTTTTTAAGCAGCTGAAAAACCTTTTTTGACTTTTTTTCTCCTCAACCAAAGAAGAATATTTCACCAGTGGATGCCATGATATTCCGTGTAGCACTGTAATTCCAAATAGGAAGGTGCTATTACTTTTGGGAAGTAAAATAAGCAGTTTAGAAACTAATGCCTGTCCCTTTCAGGTACAGAGCAGTTGCCTCCTGGAGCCGTGTTCAGGGAATTGGAATCCCTATGATCACTGCTATTGAAATCTTCTCCATTTGGCTTCTGTCCTTCATACTGGCTATCCCAGAAGCAATTGGTTTTGCTGTGGTACCTTTCAGATACAAGGATGAAAGTTATGTCACCTGCATGCTCAAGCCTACAAATAATTTTATGTTGGTGAGTAACATCCTTTCTTCTCTTTCTGGAATCCACAGTATATAGGTTAGAGAACTAACATATTGGATTTCAATAGGTTTTATTAATGCCTGAAAGTGCAAAATGTATTCTAATGTGTATTGGTGCAAAGAGTATCCTATGTTTACAGTGACTTGTCTCTACTTTCAGCCAGAGAGGCTAAATGGGACTTTACAACATTTTCATTTCTTCACTACCAAGGATTCTTAATACAAACATTTGCAATTAAGGCCTGCTTAAGGTAGAGTCAAGGGACATATCAGGGAAGGCAGAGCCTTGGAAGGTTTTGAGTTTCCAGGTACAACACCTTGGAGCTTGTAACTGTCAAAACACATGTTTTATCATGATTAGTCATCATTTTACAGGCAGTAGTCAACTCTTCTGGCACATAAAGAAAAGGGTGGGGCCATGCTGTACACACTAACAGAGTCAAATAAAACATAATCCTTTCATTTACAAGGAATCATGAGCACAAAGCTGACAGGCCCACACCTCCAGCCTGGGTAGCTTGTGCGCTGTCAGCTGTCATCTACACACAGCATCTCAAGAGCAAGAGAAGTGCCTGAGACGCACCAGGATGCTTTGGCACGTTTCACAGCCCTCATCCTCTATGCTCCTGCAGTTTAACAGTCACCAATACCCACATTAGCTTGTTCAAAGCAAGTTTGGTGAGAAGTCACTTCTAGAATTAACAGATTACTGCATAGGGGGATAGTGATTTTCTACCTTACACTGAGAAAATACCTTAATATTTTCTTTGTGAACCCACAGGAGAGCCAGGTACCACTCACCCAGTAATGAGAAAAAAAAAGGAGTAATATTCTGATTTGTTGCAGAGAAGGCAGATAGGACCAGGTCTTCAGCCTTGAGACAAACTGGTTTTTTTTCTGGAGGAGACTTTTTCATGATACAGTGAAAGTTTCTCTTTTTTGAGTGTCTGGCACTTCTCCTTTTAGTGGATCAGAACACAGCTTGGCCTAGAATTGAGAAGGATAGAGCAAAATGGAGCTAGGCATTCTGGAAGACAAAAAGTGTGGATGATTTTTTTTTCAGAGGAACATCCTCCACTTTGGTAGGCTTGCACAGACTGCAGGGATGGCAAAAAGAGCAAGAGACAATTGCAAGAGAAGACAAAAGGAATTCCCTAATGGAAATAATTAATGCATGTGAAGACCAAGAGGCATTGCCCAGGACTTACTGTATCTTTTCTTCGAAACTCCACAGACTGTGTGACTGTATATAGTGTAGTTATTGGACTCTGATTTATTAAATGCACACTGCAGCAAATTTCCACTTTTTAATGGCTGTTTTTCTCCACCTGTGTGCCTGAATTAAATGGTTTAATCTTCACTTCCACTCTCCCTAAGAAAAAGAATAGTTTTCTCTTCTCTCTCCTCAAAAACACTATAGTTCAGGTTTTCCACAGGCATGCTAATTTTAATGATTACTGTTCTGGCCTTAATGTTGGAAGTGGAATAGCATGGTATGTTTTATTAGCAGGAATTAGCATCTTTTACTTGCCTAGCATAATTCAAAAGTGCCAAACCTCCCCACACCAGTTTGATTTTCAAGGAAACAAACCAGCAGTTATGTCCAATCTCAGAGTAAATGTTGGATGTGTCAGTCAAAATTGAGAGCTTTGTGTTTCAAAGTTTTGCCGGCAAGTACAAACATGAGATTAAAATGGGAATACCACTTTAACCTTAACTACAGTATTTACTACCACAAACACCACAACAAACAACTACTAAACTTTGGGAAGGATTTATTATTAACTTTTGTTTTTAATAGGAGTTTTATTTCTGTTTAAAACTATCCTTGAAAGACTCAAAAGATTCATGCTAGACCATGACTCCCAAGAGGCTGAGTGCACTAGGAAACTTGTTTAAAATGCACATTTCCTGTAGAAAACCAGTTCCATGTGGGCTTTCAAGACAAACAAAGGAATGTCTACTTCTCTTAAATCAACCCATTTTTGTGCTTTGATGTAAGCTTTGTGAGACTCAGATTCCACAATTAATCACTTACAGACATTTTTGAGTAGGCTTTATAACTTCACCAAGCCAAGTCCTCATACAGAATTGATGGTCAGGGTTGTGACACAGACCTCAGTGTGTGTTTTCCTGACAGACAGGCAAAGCTCATGAAACCTGGCAGACTGATGGGACAGGAAGTTTTGCTTGTAAACATGGCATGGATTCATGCAGTACACATTTTGTGCTGCCCAGCCAGTGCAATTCTAGTCCGAGTTGGAACAATTTGCCATGGAAAATATAATTATCTCCATGTATTTGTAATCCTTTTCTCTGCAGAAGGAGCAGCAATTACATTTGCCCTCAGTACAAACTCTTCCAACACGAGGCATTATTGTTTTCCAGTTTTCTGCTGGCGGAAGCTCAGTTCCCAGGGGGGGAATTTCTGCCCCCAAGGAAAGTGCAACTATGCAGCAGACTGTAGCCCCTCCTCAGGGAGGAGGCTAATGAGGAGGAGGAAACAAGTTAATCAACACGAGGCAGTGTCCCAAAGTGAGGTGGGATTGTGGCCTAGATACCAGCAGTGTAGTCTAAATTACCAAATTCTGTGTGCAGCTGTGTTGGGGCAGAGGGAGGAGAAAAATCAAAAGCATTCCTTGTATCTTAATAAATCAACTTTCTAATATAACTAAAGTGGATTTTAAAATGAACATTATTAAATACTACTGTATGAATCACATTGATTTTTTTCATTTTTCAAACTTTAGTACTGTTTGGTTTTAACTGCAAACAAGACGTCAAAAGTTTGGCCTTTTCAAACAGGGTTCATAAAATCCTGTCATAAGCATTTTGACATTTGGTGTGGGAACTCTGATGTTACCAGAGCACATCCACTAGGAATAAACAAGATAGGGGAAAGAATATGACACATCCCTTTTACACTAATAACAGAGGCAGGAAGTGTTTAAAATGCCATATTTTACATATTTTAGTGCAAACTCTTGGCTGAGCATGAAAGTTAAAAACCAAGATACAATATTTACAATCATGAAAACATGATTGTCTACAGAAAAAAAGTAATTTTAAATGTTTGTTCGGGCAAAAAGTGTAATCTTTCCCATAACATGTAAATGTATTAAGTTACAGCACTGCTGACATCACAGCTAATACTTAAAATTACACAGCAGAATTTTAAGTACCGTTCTATCAAATGGTATGAATGGTTGGCAAAGGGTTAAAAGTAATGGTACCACCAGAAGCCATCGGCCCTAAGCTTTGCATATATCACACAAACACTTATGAAGTGGTTCCTATCTGCCCAGTACATAAGCAAACCAACTGCTAACCTTTTCACTGATAACGAAAGGTGATTAAACTTACAAGACATTTTGAATTTTCCTTTTTTGGAATCAGGAGAGAAGCTGTAGAGGTAAACGGCATTTCCTGAGACAGGCTTTTAGTAAGATTTGTTATCTCAAACCGACACTGTCTACATTTTGGCATGTCTTTTTCACGAAACTGGATTCCAGGTTTCATGAAGGACCATAAATGTTCAGAAAGCACAACTAATAGGAATTAATTCCAACCCAAGACAGATTGCAACAAAGGTATAGGCAGGCTATCTGTGAGTTAAAGTAAATGTTTACACTGTCACAATCCCCATTTTGATGTTGGTCTAAACCAGATAAACAATAAGAAAACAGACAGACAAAAGTGCACCGTCATGCTTTCTGGGACCTTTCTGTGGTATTTTGCATCAAATCATAAAAAAAAAAAATCTTCTCTTTACTTTATCTACAGTTTTACAAAGATGCAAAGGATTGGTGGCTGTTTGGTTTCTATTTCTGCATGCCACTGATGTGCACTGCCATCTTTTACACGCTAATGACTTGTGAAATGTTAAACAGAAGAAACAGCAACTTGAGAATTGCTCTCAGCGAACACCTGAAGCAGGTAAATATTAGAAACACCGTTGTTTGAATGTACTGTTCTTCTCTCTGTGGGTTAGCTTAGAAATGTTTCAAAGTGTACTTGAATACAGCAAACTACAGAAGTAGAAAGTGAGGATGTAGGTTGTTTATGATGTCAAGATATCAATTTAAACCTGGAACAAAAGACTAAATCATATTATAAGGAGGGATTGAAGACAGTATGCTCAAAAAACTAGCCAGTTTCTTTCCTTTCCTATGTATGACAGTCGTGCTCTTTAACCTCAAATCCCTACTGCCTAAATGCTTTGAAATTTAACTACAAAGATTTGCCAAAAAAATGTTTCTTTTTATTTATAAAGATATGACTCCGTGGAACCTCCCTCCTTTTGGCAGTCTTTGATATGTAACTTTAGTTTCATATAAAAAGCAATAACCTAGTTTAGAACAGAGTGGATTTTGTTTTTCAGGGTTATTGCACTGCTGCAGTAGCACTGCTGTAGCTGCTTTGAAAAGAGCAGCGGGAGAACAGTACAAACAAATGATCACAGAACAAAGTCGCTCACAGACCAGTCAGGTCTCGCTTTGCAGTTTTTGCAGCACTGTCTGATGTTTAGTGCCTAACTGAAATTTAAAAAACAATCTGTAGCTTTTCCCCTGCGATAACATCAGCCCTTTAAATTCCACTCTTTCTTTCAAATGCCATATTCACAGATGTGAATCCTGAAAGCCATCCTCTCTGCATCAGAGCGAGTTCTCTCAGAGGTTCCTCCTTTGCTGGTTCATTCCAGATCAGGGCTGACCGGAAAATCCTCCCCTTGTGCAGTTCCTCCACTTTTTCCCCTCCTCAGGCCCCACAGCCTGGAGCACAGTCTGTCCCAGGGCCACACACGAGCTACTCCACCCATTAGAACTAGAATAGTATGTAAGAGGTGGGGAAATACACCCTCCAGCTTTCCCATCCTGATGTGCAGTGCCCAGTAAGCTACTCAACTGACTGCTGGAGGATGACTCTATGCCACAATTTACAAATGCATTTTAACTATCACCTTTTGCCCCTCTTTCATCCATCCTTCCTTCCTTCCCTCCAGCCTTGTCCACAGTAATGTCTAGTCACAATATTTTCATATTTTGATAAAAACTGCTATTATAAAAAAGAGGAAACTATAATAGTCATATTCAAAGCCTAACAACACTTATGACTTCAAGTTTTTTTAATGACAGTCCTTAAGTGCTTTGCTGTTACATTATGGTGGCAATTTCAGTAGTAGTATCCTTACTGCTTCGTATGTTGCTCTTTATTAAACCCATGCCTACCAAACACCCCTGGTATGCATTGTCAAGAGTCCACTAAAACATCTGTAACTCTCTAGAGCCACATAAAATATCCATTAAATTAAATTAAGTTCCTGACTAAATATTTCGAGATTAAGCTGTAATGCAGACATTTCTAAAATGTTGTTTGTAGAGGAACTATTTGCTTGAAAACATCAAGATCACACAGTAAGGATCACAAAATTAATATACTGTGTAGTATCCCTTTGTGTAACACTATACATATTAAATGAAAAATAATATATCAGGGAGAATTTGACATCCTGACTAGGTATGTGGTTGAATGGAACTTTTACTGCAAGTTGATTTAGGTGCCTTGGGTTTATGCATTGCCCCACATCAAGGATTTGGTACAAGTCATTTATCAAGCAGGTGTGCACACTGTTGCCTCACACATGAAAAGGTTTTCTTGCAGATTATGTGTCTTTTTGACAAAAGAGGTTTATCTGAGGGATTGTCAGAAAACTAATCCAGTGTAAAGGAGTAAGAAATGCTGGGAAAGTATTCAGAAAAGACTAGCAATGGATTTTCCTGGGCTAACTTCTACAGTGCTCTGGCAATAACCTATGTGCTCCAGCTGCTCCAGTGATGAGCAGGCTGTGTTGAGGATGGCCAGAATCAAGAACAGGACAAGACTCATAAAAAAGCTCTCAGAGGTATCAGGCACTCTGGAAGCTTCGTTTTGGGAATCTTGCATGCTTAATCAAGATGACTCACTTTGCTGCCAACATTACTACACTACAATCACCTGCCAATATGAATAAGGCACTCAGTGTACACTGTTATCTTCTTCTTCCAGCGTCGAGAAGTTGCAAAGACAGTTTTCTGTTTAGTCGTGATTTTTGCTCTTTGCTGGTTCCCTCTCCATTTGAGCCGAATTTTGAAGAAAATGGTATACAATGAAAAAGACCCCAGCAGATGTGAACTGCTCAGGTACTTCATTTTGTGTGTCAGTAGTTAATACTGAAAAAGTATAATGCTGCCTTACTTGGAATTTATATGACTAATGTCACTGTGCTTGCAACTGTGGTTTTTGATTTTCAGCTGCACCCATTTTCAGTGGTTTCAGTTGTAATGGGGTAGCATAATGTCAATAAATGTTGTCTGTCACCACTTCAATCACTTTCCTCTGGCTTTGTTGAAGTTCTGTGAGATAGATTATTATAGACATGGCATGGTACAAGATTAGATTGAGGGAGTTAGGTAAGAGGGAATAAGTTTCTGTGACAGAAGAGACTGTAACCTTAAAGAACACGGATGCTTGTGTAGCATACGAACTGTTTAAATGTTTTGCTTTCTCTTGCCTAGTTTCTTGCTGCCTTTGGATTATATCAGCATCAACCTGGCAACCATGAACTCTTGTATAAACCCCATAGCTCTGTATTTTGTGAGCAAGAAGTTTAAAAACTGTTTCCAGGTAAGATCTTCTTGATAAGATTTCATGTCCAGTTAACTAACTGTATTAAACCACTAAGTTGTTATCTATTTCTAACAGCTGGGAGAAGAGGAATGCAAAGGACTGAAAGATAATAAACTGTCCAGTTCAGCAGCTCACATAGCACACATACCAAACTGAAAGAGGAACTACCCACTTATCTGAAATGCTAAACCAATAAATAAGTTTGACAAAGTCCTCATCTGTAAACATGTAAACTGAGATAGACATGCTCTTGTAAATACTACAATGTGTGACATGTGACATGTACACAAAATAGAATTTGGTTGATAACATATCTTTCATTCTCGATGACACCAAGATGCCTGCACAAAACAATCCCATTAACAACTAAAATGTTCAGCCTTGAATACCAGGTACCAACCCTCGTACCTGAGTTGACTTTGGCATTAAATACACGTTATGTCTTCTACTTGCATTTTTCCAGTTCCTACACATGCAAATATATTTTAAGGCTAAAACAATTTCCTTGTGACAATGTGCCTCTGCAAGTCCCTGTCCCCCTAGTAAAGGCAATACAGAAAGAAAAAAAAAAACTAGAGGTAAAGGAATGAAACAGAAAAGGAAGACTAAAATAACTTTATCTGCAAAGAAAAGCAAAAGATGACAGGACTGTACAGGACAGCACTAAACTTTAAGTCTGAGAATAGGCAGAACCCAAAAAACATAATGAAAAAAAACATAATTAATTACTAGACTAGTGAATACCTGTTTATCTATAGCCTGCTCAGATTTACAAACTATTTTAAGGGAGTATTTTTACATGGTAAATAAGTCTGCTTTGCTTTTTACTGTCCCCTACTTCATTTGGGAACCATGGAGAGGATAATAGGCCTGAACTTGCCCTCAGGTGAAAGGGAGAAGTAACAGAGGGTATTATCAGGCTGCTCTTCATGATGTTAATTCATTCTTCCCATTTGTCCTTCCAAATATAACTCCCACCCAAAAACTCTAATTACAGAATTGTCAGCAATTTTTTTTTATCCTTCCCAGTTTCTCATCACAGCTTTCCCTTTGCCTCCTGGTATCAAGGTCATTAATTCAGTTTTGAATTTGTGTTTCTCACCCTGCCTCTGTTGCTGTTTTACATACCCACCCATACAGTACCTATATCTTAAATCTGGCTTTACCTCTGCAACATCCCCTTCTCACGGAGTTCACAGAATTCACGGATCTACTGCTGTTATTGGCATTGTTCCTCTGAGACTCCTAACTCCTTCCCCTCAAGCAGACACTCCATCTACATAGAATTAGGCACTAGTTTTTGTGAAGGGATGAGGGGATAGCTGAGGAATCCTTTCTGCTCCTGTCAGAAGAGACAACTGAACACAGCAACCTGTGAACAACCTGGGAGTATGGCCCTGAATGGCCTTTTATTCTTAACTGTCCAAAATAATACACCTCAGTATGTTTTGTCCTTTCTCCTAAACAATTCTATCTTCTTCTAAGATGTCAGAAGAGACCCAAGTCACAGGCTGGAGAATTTTCTTCTTTTCTCTTCTCTGCTAAGCAGCATGCTGATCCCCAAGCTTGAAATACAGTGAAAAAGAGGAGGAAAAATGTCAACCCAGCCCTTAAAAATATGCATTGAATTCTGCCAGTTCTCAATCTACTTACCTCAGTTAAAAAAAAAATTTTCATACTGTGAAAGTTTTTCTTAAATAAGAGGCACAGGTTGGGCCTAATTTGCTGTATTTGTGATGTTTAAACACAAGAATTGTTTGCATCCTAGGATAAAAATTTCTCTGAATGCAGCTACCAATCTCTTCAGCTAGAATTGTCTTTTCATTTCTAAATGAAAAATAAGGCTGGCAATCTGCATAGAATTGATAGATTTGTCTTAACCTTTTATTTATCTTTTTTTAAAATTTATTTCCAGTCATGTCTTTGCTGTTGCTGCTCCCAATCTAAGAGTCTGGTGACTTCAGTGCCCATGAATGGAACAAGCATTCAATGGAAAAATCAAGAACTAAACAATCACAATACAGATCGAAGCAGCCATAAAGACAGCATAAACTGAAAATTAAGGACTATCATACCATTTTGCAATGAAACAGGAAAAAAAAAAGTCACTACAAAGCTATTGCAACAAGAAGCCCAGTGACTGTTCCATAATAATTCAGATATGTGCACCATTGTACCTAATTCTAGAAGTGACTGAGTAGGCGGACTGATTATAACTATGATTTTCTGTGAACTGAGATCCACTGGATGGTGATTCTGCATTTGGAAATGATATTTATGGGATTATGACACCCAAAAACTGGCTTGAACTGCACAGGTGGTTTGCTCTTCTGAACCAGGCAGGAACTGTCCAGTGTCCGTGACTGGTACAATACATTTTGCCTGATTGTCACCTAGAATTAATCACTTTGGAATTTTTTCAGAAGATATCAAAATGGAATCTGTCTGTGACTATATTTTATCTCTGCCCATTTGTCTTTTTTAACTTTTATTTGTGTGGTGGATATATTCCATGCACCGGTATGTTTTGCATGTTGTTGTTGTTGCTGTTTTTCAGGTGTTATGTTCGAAAATGTTTTAGTCCACACCAGCATTTTATTTACTTATGTTACAGTGGGTCAGGACATTAGCTGGGCAGTTCACATTTGTAGCACTTCAGTATTCAAATATAGGAAGAGACCATTTAAATAGCATCAACATTTGGCACTTAAGCACAGATTAATACCAAAAAAAGAGGTATTAATAATACAGTACTATACTGTGTTATTTATTGTAATGCTCTGTACAAAATAAACATAATCTGTAACAGCAAAAATAATGAAAGATGCTCACAGAGGGCAATGTGTTTTTAATTAACTTGCCATGTTAATTCTTAAACTATATGAACCTTTTAATCTCTTTAGACTACAGCTGCATTAAGTCTAAGTTCAAATAATGGTCAGTGGAACAGAGTGAAGCATTATAAAAGCTGTCCAAAGAGTTCTGAGAATACAGCTATTATCAGAGCAACTATGCATAACACTACTACTTAAATATTGTGAACATGAGGTTATAGTCTTAGTGAATGTAGAACTGTGGAAGTCCATAAGAGCTGGATGTGCAGAAGGGTATTTTGTGCCTTATTGCTTACAGAGTTATTTATCTACACAATGTTCAAAGATTTTAAGAGGGTTTTATATGTTATCGGCATTGTTAAACATACAAAATGCTATTAATAAGATATAGAAGCTATTGCTTGCATACATGTAAACTGATGAGTTCCTTAGTACTTCCATCCATTAAGACTACATGGCAAGAGATTCCTTTGTTTGCCTATTAAAAATAAAAATTTTTAATAGGTAGCCTTTCACTAAAAAGTGGAATTAAGTAGCGTGATGTCATATATAATATGTCTCATGCACAAATCTGCTAGGCAATTCACAGCATCCTTTGTGCTAGGCTAAGAGGTAGTAATCAAAATTCCACAAATTCTTAAACATCTGTTTCATTTCAAGGGAAAGATATAATCCTGCATATTTTTATTTAAGAGGTCAAAATGCTAGCACCTACAGTGACTTCTGCTGCACAAGTTCCCCCAATGTTTACATTCACACCAATTTTCAAAGGTATATTTAAAGAAAGGTTCTTTAAGTTGGTTTATGTATTTTTGTGCTTTTGTCTCTGTGACATATATGCGTGTATAAATACATATAAATCTATGTTCATATGTTATAAACCTAAATACAGTCTTCTGACAGTGCTCTGTGGTAGTGCCTAAGAGCATGGTATGGAATGAGACTCGGCTGACTTTTACTCAAAACACTTCATCCTCAAACTGTATCAAAAATCATAGTAAATGAGTAAAAAAGATTGAGTTACTGAGTCTCTTTACACCCTAAAACCTTCCCTGCTTCTTTGACAGAACATATTGAGGAGATGACAAAGCTAAACAGAAAATGGAGGAGTGGATTTCTTTATTTCAAGGCAGGAAAAAGTTTTATGCACATTCCCCTTTTCTGCTATTTATCTGATGGGTAGATAAACCAAAACAGTTCATACACCAGCAAACCAATCATGATTACTCAGAGACAATGTTTCTACCTGTCTATGTAGGACAGTGAGCAGTAGAGACAATCTAGGTCAGAAACTGTAGGGTTCTTCTACAAAAAATGGTCCTGAAATGGACCATTTTTATGCTTTACCCACACTGATGCAAAGCATGAATCATGAAAATCTAACAGTTTTCCTTCCAGCATTAACACTTCCAGCATCTGTTGCTTTCAACCCAATAGTTGGCTCTCTCATGTGGCAAAGAGACATGGATGTGCACACACACAAAGCATACTTCAAACCAGTCCAGCCTAGATGGAAAAACCATCTTCCTACTCCCCAAAGAGCCGACTGGCATCAGCAGCAGCATTGTAAAATACAAAACTTTTCAAAGGAAAGAAGAGGATAAAACAGATATATATTGTGAGAGGCATTTTTTAGAATCCTTTACAATTATTTTTTGAAGCTTCCTTACAGATCAAAGCCTGCAAAAACTAATTGGTGATTCTCATTTCACCTCCTCCAGATTGTGGAAGGACTGACAGAGCCTAAACAGCAGTGACAAGTGAAGTCCTGGGAGGTCTCATACGCTTTTTTGCCATGTTTGCTCTTGTATGTTCAGTGGTGGCTGCTGCTCCCACTCACAAACCAATTGTAAGGACAAAGGGTGTTATGATGTGGCAGCTGTGGTGAGGGGGGGACTGTTTCTCAAAAACTTGCTAAGGTACTTCCTTAATTCTCTCTTCTTCATTCTGCTGAGAATAGTAAATATTCCTCCTGGTATTGTGAAAGAGCTGCCTTTCCAATAGAACCAACAAAGTCTTCCACAATTCTGAAATTAAATCTTTCTGAATTTTAACCTTTCCTTTTGCTGCCAAGTTCTGCAAAAAGGTGCTCTGGCTCTTTTGTGCATCAAACCCAATGTGGATTTAGTTGGGATTTTTCTCTGGTGTTGCACAGAAGCTGCGCTCTCTTTTACATCAGAAGAACTTTCTAGAACAAGCATTCTTCCATTCTTCTCTTACTTTTATAGATGTTTTTATGCCTGCTGTTTGCACTCCTCTCAGCTGAACCAAGCCCAGCTTTTCTCTGCAGCTGACAGGACCTCTATTCCACAAGTTTCAGATTAACGTCATAAGCTTTTTGTAACATCTGTTCATTGTAATCAAAATCAATTTAACTATCACATTCATCTTTTTTTGTGGACTTCAGAATTCCCAACTACTTTCAGTCCAGTCAGTGTAAAATTTCACTGACAGTCTCACAACCCAACTTCAAACACTTTGCAGAGTTTTCTTTAATTTTAGAATACAGCTATTCTCCTCATTTTCATTATGCATTGTTTTCAAACTACCTCACTAAACATTTCCTCTTTGATGCATTTGATATTTATTTGCCTCAAAGATACAGCATACATAGGTTTTCACTTACATATATGTTTGTATCAATTTACTTACACAGGAAACTGTGCTTCAGACCTGACTTAGCCAGCTCCTGTGCTTTGGAAAAAAGTACTTCATCATAAATCTCACCTGACAGAACTATTAGCTCAGTTCTGTGAAAAGATGCTTATGCAACCCTCATATCTGAATGTTTCAGGCATTTACCTGTCTTTCCCTGCATCCTTCAGAAACAACTATGACCCCCCTACCCAATTTCAATGAATTTTACAGAACAGTAAATTCACTATGAAGCTACAGAGAATTTCACCAAAACTGCAGGATGGGTGGAAGATCCAAATTGTACTTGTGCTGTATGCAGAAAATTTCTGAAATGCAGTTTATACCTACTGAATAAATTCGCTTGATAGAAAGATGTTATGAACATCACAGATGCAGAAAAAGCCTTGATCAGAGCCTGCAATCTGTAAGACATCTGAGAATCAAACTTCAACACACAAACCCTTGGAAGCCAGTATCTGTAAGTTCTGTTGCTTGTGGAATTAGTTACTTTTTAAATTTTTAGTTATTTTTTTCTGTTTCTCTTTCATCATTTACATATTTCCTGCAATCTTGTTACTACATCATTTGATTCTGTGAGGCCTTATGAGTTTGTGAGAAGACAGGGTACAAATACAAATTCTGCTGCATTTGTATGAACAGATTTCAGCTCAAATGTCCCCGAGGCAAAGGACATATTTTCATTAGAAGAACCACCAGGACTGCCTGCTAACATTGCCTTGCAGAGTTTCTTCCAGACAATCAGCTGTGCAAAGCTTGGCTCAGCAAAGTATCCTAATTTACGCTCCTTGCTCTTTCAGAGACTAAATAAAGGCAATTATTTTCAAAATCAGAGGAAAAGAAGACACATAAAAAGTGTATAGACCAGAAACAGCTCTCAAGTTGCATAGAAAAAAAAACAAAACAAACAAACAAACAAACAAACAAACAAAAAAAAAACCACACCAAAAAAACAACCCAAATCAGGCATGTTTAAAATATGGCTCTAAAAGAAACACAACTTATCATTAGTCCAAGTGTGGGAAAGGAAGATAAGAACTAAATAAAAAATGTAGGTCATCTCCACTTTTTCTTTAAAGGAAGACAAAATTAATTGACCTTTCATATCTCATTTAGAATCAGCCCTTTCCCTGTACAGAAACCACTGCCTCTGTCACAGTTTTGCAGTCCTATTAGTACAGTCGCTTATTATTACAATAATAAAGCTCAACATAATAAGTGGTACAGCTGATAAGAAAAGAGGACTTCATCTGTAGTTCAGCAGCACTCTGCCCACATTTTTCAGCGTAACTGAGTGTCTGTAAACTGCTCTGAAATCAATAATTTGGAAATAACTTGGTGCACCTCAGAAAAAGGCTTTTACTTTAATCTCACACTGTCTTAGTCCTTGGGAGTAAAAAGACTGAATCTGCAAGTTACTGAATCAAGCATCCAGAACAATTAATGAGAAGCAGTTCTAAGCCATCCAAGAGAACATGCATTCTGCTATATTTTTTTAATGGAGGGGAAGATTAGAAATCCATCATTACTAGACACCACTGTGCCAACCTGTAGCCACACTTCGTATTTATTGAAATGTCTCTGTCTAAAGTTCTTTTGTCTTTTCCCTCCAAAACTGTTGTACAGTGGTCTCCTTGGTATTGCCTCTGAATAAAGTATTTGGATCTTTTTTTTTTTTCCAAATATCTACCCACTATAAATACAGATACATGGTATATTCCAATATAGAAGCACAATTAAACCACACTCCTAGTAAAGTCACAAACTTTTAGAGTCAAGTTTTAAACAGAAAATTAACATACTTCTCTTGGGACAAATGAATACCACAGTTCAGTACTACTAGTAGAAAATACATTGATTTTTTTCGTAAAAAATAAGAAACTATATCACTTTTTCTAATTGAAAAAAAAGAGTAGGTGTTCACATGAATAATGAGAAAGTCCACACTTCATGAGCTGTAATAAAATACAGTAAGGACCATACATCTTTTTGCTCCAGAATGTAAAATAGGTTTAAATTCTGGGGATTAGGAAGACATAACTCTCCGATGCAAGATTTTTTGATTTCCCTACTTCTCTAAAGTACTAATTTCAAGACACATCTCAAACTCAGAGATAGTTGTGAAGAAAGGGAGATGCTTATTGTTAACTAACATTGCCTTCTTGCCCTGCAGAAGAGTCTTTGGCTAGCATTTTTTATAATATCCAGCATCTTTTGGCTTTCCTGTACCACAAATGAACTGCAACAACTGCAGTACCAAGGACTACTCCAAAATCAAGGAATACAATGTTGAATTAGTTCCTTTCCAAGAACATTTGTATATATGAGAATTTGCTTGCACAGAACTTTAACCAGTGGTTGTTCTTCCATACAAAGTTCATTAATATAAAAAAATAAACTAACAAACTGATCTTCCATTTACTTTAAAAATGTGAGCTATTTAGAGATAAAACAGAAAGAAAATACCATGTAATTGAACTACGAGCACTTCCATACCACATATGCTACACACTGCTGTAACTAAAGACATGAATCAAATACCAAAATGTTATCACATAAAACTGCTTGTTAAAAAATACAAAAAGAATTAATACATTCAGAACAATCAAAGTTTGTTCAACATTCAATATTCTAGAGGACAAACTAGCACAGTAATATATTTGAAAATTGGTTACATTCACTCGGTGACAAATAAAAGAATTTGGCCTGGACACCCAAAGTTGTTTAAGCTTCTGTTTGAAATACCAGTGGGATAAAGGCATGAGTTTGCTCTACAAAGAAAATTATGGGCTACAACTTCACTGTAAAAAAGGAGCTAAGGAAAGATCAAAATCATTTTTAAGATTGTCAGATTTTTCAGACTAGAATTGATCTTAAATACGAACTGTATCTCTGACATGGAATTCCTAACTAATTCATATTTCCAGCTAAAGACTTCCATATGTTTTATCAATTTTATTTTATTTTATATCATCTGCTTGGTAAGTATGAAAATGTCAAGACAGTCAGTCTAGTTTTACTTACCCAAGATTATAATTCACAAAAGAATTGAATGTATCTACACTGATTGAAATAAGAAAAAAACTAGGAAGGATGTTATTTTGTCAGCTGAAGGTATTATCTCAATCAAAGTTAAAACTAGACATTAAACTAATCTTAGGTTTCAAGTAGTAACTTGGGATAAAATGCTGAATCTACTGAAGTAAAAGATAAAGTTGCCACATCACTTCAGCAGGACTGGGATTTCAGTCAGAATGTCTGATGGAGCTTGGATGAATAATTATGAAATTATCATCTCATATGCTCAGGTGGGGGAAGAAGCTTAGGCACACTTTTTCTCCCATAAAATCACCTTAAT